TTACGTTTATGGCTTTGGCTTTGTTCCTGACTGCAGCGAGATCTGTGAGGTCTGGCATTAAAGGTTTGCGCACACACTCAATATTAACAGCATGCATCATGGCATGGACAAGTAATCAACTTCCTTGGTTCTACAGGGCAGTCTATATCTGTATTTTGGTTTTAATGCATGTATGAATATAAGAATTTATTTCATTTTTTAAAGTTTAAGGAATATTTACTTTGTTCTTTTTTGTCATGTTAATAAACAGCTGTGTTTATGCTGCTTACATTCATGTTTTTCATTTTGAGAAGCCTAAATCTTAGGCATCACTGTTAAGAAGTATAGTGTTTCCTGTCTCAACAGTTTTTTTCAGGTAATGGAAAGATATAACCATACTTGGTGTTATCTTCAGTAACACACATATGTGAGATTAATAATAATATAGATTTAATAAAAGGTATAGTCCCTGGAAACAGGAAAGGAAGAGTGAGTTCTGGCAAGAGAGGTGTTTGGGCCAGCTGTCCTTCATCAGTTGCTCACAGCCAGTGAAACTAAGAGGCCACAATAGTTAATTGTGATTGAAGACTCCCTGGTGAAGGGAATGGAGACATCCTTCTGCTGAGCAGACCTGATGACTTCCAAAGTTTGCTGCTTCCCCAGGGACTTGATCCAGGACATCACAGAGGTTGCCAAGGCCTGATCAATCATCAGACTTTGCTACTTTCTTATGTGGACACTAGTAATACTTCAACAGATAAAGAATGACTGTGGGGCTCAGGGATCCCATGTGAAGGGATGGAGCCCAAGCAGTGTTCTCCATCCTGCGATTCAAGGGAAAAACCTTGGGTAGGGTTGGATGCATCCTGTATATTCACTTCTGTCTGTGCATCTGGTGTCCTGGTAACACTTTGGACTCTTTTCAATAAATGGGAGCTACTGGGGAGAGATGGGATCAACTCAACAGTGTAGGACAAAAGTGTCTTTACCAGCATGTGTACTGGGAGCAAGTGGAAGTCTGCACAGTTGCAGCACTGGAATGTCATTGGATTTGCAGTGGGTTCATGCAACAGCAGTGCCATAGGCCATGACTCAGCTTCTCAGACAAGGGTGCCATAGCAGTGTCTTCAAAGAAGTGTGTCTTGAATGCATGGAGTTTTGCTGTAGCCTCAGCAACAGGCTGGTCAAGATTTTACGAGTTAGTATCTGAAGCGAGCTCAGAAAGGGAGGCATTGTGGTGGCATGTTTTTTAGGGCTTCCCAATCAAAAGGAGGTAGAGCCTGGAGAAGGGAAGATAGCAGCTTTCCAGTACTTAGAAAGAGGGTATTGAGACAAGAGGGATAGGCTCTACACAGCAATGCATGGTGGAAAGATGACAGATGAAGGGTGTTAGTTGAAATGGGAAGTTCTGACTGGCTATAAGGAGGGTTTTTCATCACAAGAAGAATGAAGAAGTGAAATGGGGATCCAGAGAGGCTGAGAAAGCCTCCTCTTCCTTGGAGGTTTTGAAGACCTGGCTGGATAGAATACTGAGCAACATGGTCTGATCTCAGAGGTGACCCTGGTTTGAATGGGAAGTTGGACAGGAGACCTTTTGAGGTCTCTTCCAAGCCATGTTTTCCTATGATCCTATGAAGCCTGCTTAAAAGAGTGCTTCAACTGCAGACCCTGGGTCTCAAGGAAACTTTATCAACCCTGGTGTTAACTAGGAATGTGACACAGTATGGCAATCCAGGAGACTCCTGGAATAGAGATGGGATAATATCTTGATGAATGTGCTACATTAGTAGACTAAGGGTGGTGCTCTACTGGTCTTACTACTCACAAAGGAGCAACAACTGTTTAGGTTTGTGTTTGTTAACGTCGGTCTTGGCTGCAGTTACCATGTACTGCTCAAGTCTAAGATACTAAGAGGAGAGGAAAGCAAGTAGCAGAGTGTAGGTCCTGGACCTGAGCTTGTAGGGACCCTGTAGGAGACAGTTCTGAAGAACAAAAGCCACCCAGGAGACCTGACTGATAATCAAGGAAAACCTCTTCAAAGCACAAAAATAGTCCATTCGTATCTACAGGAAAGCAGTAGGCATGGCTGGAGACCAGCTTGGCTGAAAGGGCAGCTCCCAGCTGAGGTCAGATTTGAAAAGCAATTGTCTAGGAGGTGGAAGTGAGGACAGGCTACCCAGGAGCAATATAAAAGAATCCTGTGGGCTTTTAGGGATAGGGCTGTGAAGCGCAAAGCTCATCAGAGTTTGAAAGCATTCAAAGATTTGAAGGACAACCAGATGGGCTTTTCAGGTCAGTCTAAACAGGAGTATGTGTTCTTGGTTAACTTCTAACTGGCTGACTAGAGCCAGTTAGAAGTGAAACATTCCAGCTGTATGTAGTCTGAACACCAGATCTTCAATGTTATCTGTATCAGTCTGTAAGTCCTCTCCTATTGCTCTGTACTGCTTGCTAATATAGACAAAGCCTTTTCTGGCCAATAAATGAGGTGGGTTTGTCTCTAAACACCTTTAGTCTTGGGTTTCTTTCTTTCTGAAATTCTGTGTTCATACATACCTATGTAGTATACAGATGTAGATGTACATCATATCAGGAGTGCTGCGGCATGCAAATGAATAATACTTTTTGCTTTGAATATTTAAGTATCTCAATTTCCCAGAGTTTATAGTACTGTTTCTCATCTTGGCTTACAGAGTTTACTACCTGTAGTTTTCCATTAGACAAAGTATCTTAATTCTCCTTCCAATTTCCTCCAGAACTTGCATCACAGTATGATAAAATCATGCCTGTGTCTTGTATTTTCTAAAACATTCATATTTGCAGTCCTCTATGATCCTTGAGATCTTTTATTGTTGCTAGCTTCTCACTGCTGGTTTTGTCTTAGGATGTGGAGAGGCAAACATTGAAAAAGCTTTATACAGACAATAATAATTGTTTTCTAGAACAGACTGGAAACTTTCTTGTAAGGACCTGATCCTGCAGCTCAATAAAGCCACTTGTAAACATGAAAAGGCAAGGTGCAGTTATTATTTTTTGCATTATGTCATCAGCATAGGCATTCTCTTGATTCTAATTATTGACCCTTGTGGCCTGTAGATAAACACTAATATATGCTCCAGGGTAACTGAAAGAACTTCCTACTGAAGTCTGTAGACTTCTTTTAATGAAATTTTCCTTCATTAATATTTTCCTTCAGAGCTCGCCAGCTCTTCTTTTAGCACTTCCAGAATTGCCTTGGAGCTCCGTCTGAAAATGTTTGTTTTATTTTTGTATTCCCATTGCATGGGGAAAGTCTATTGTCAAACGGTGACACTTTCATAAATTAAGTCTGTGAATGCTGTTTTTTTAAAAAAAATACAACATCCCAGCAGCAAACACACCCACCTGAGGTTGTGTTTGTTGTGGAGCCTGCATCGCCACCCGAACACAGTAAAAATGTTAACTACTGTGTCACAGTTAAAGTCTGACTCCAGTGAAGTCAGAGGTCAGAGTCCTGTTGACCAGAGCAGGTCTTGCCACTGATGAGTGAAATGTTCTCACTGGTGAAGGAATGGGTGCTATGCTGTCTTCCTTGCCCTGACATCGCAGCACATCTCAACTTTCAAAGACAAATAGTTTCTGCAGCTGAAAAGCTATTACTAGTTCAGACTCTGCGCTCCTTTTGCCTGTTCACTGGGAATATCAGCACTGATGTGACTTAGTTCTCACTGGGAAATGTCACTTGTGTGACAAAGGTCAGGAGTTCTTCTAGGATCAGTTAATTATGTGTGGTTATTATATCTTGAAGCCCTCCCTGCATTGCTATATGCAACTAAGTTTTTATTCAAGATTTGTTTACTATCATATAGGTTTGTGTGAATGAGAACTGGAACACCCAAGTGTCACTTCTATCTCAGAGTGATGCAGCTGCAGTTTATCTTGTCAGAATATTTATAGTTTTGTTTACAATACTTCTAAAGCCTGTTTTTATCTATTTGGCAATTGTCTGTGTATACAGGAAACCAGTTTTGTTGCTTCTTTGAATCATTGGACTATTGTTCCAGTACAGTGTTAGATTTTCTTTTTAAGTTTTCTTCCGCACTTGCTTTGCCTGTGAACAGATTTGTGTTCCCTCATATGCTGATGTATTGGCAAGGAGTTGTACACGTGTTTTGAGAAACACCTCTGCTGTGAACTGAAGTGAAGCTTTGGTGTTTCTTCCAAGGAGCCGATTTGATTTATACTATACAGTTTGTGTGTGCAGGAAATAAGCATTAATGCATCCGGTCAGGGGGAATAAATTGATATAAGTGCACCACTTCTTCTGGCAGCCTTCTTAATCTTAGTGTTTCACCACCTTGCCTGGAATTTTCAGAAGGACTCATAGTTAAGCCAAGCTCACCCAACTCTTTGCCCACCAAGGTCAAGGGTAAGCTCCCCTTGGCGTTAAATAAGGCAATTTTAGTCCTGTGCTAATGCTTCTGAAAGTCTTACCTTTCATTTGTAGTTAATAATATGTTGAGTTCTTTAAAGAATGGCCTGTTGCAGTCTTTGGATCTTTCTGCTAAAACATGTTCTATGGTTGAGTGAAAGGACTTTACCCCACATGGGTAAAGGCTTGACTAAGACCCTTGCCAGCCCTGGGGGTCTCTGCCTGGCTCTTATGGGAGGCAGGCTTCCTCAATAGGCAGCTGGTGCTGCCTTTAAGCAAGGGCATATGAATCCTCAGCAAAATAACTACTGAGAAAGGAAAGCTGGAATGAAAAGGAGAACCACTACTTTCTAGTACTTCTCTCTGAAGAAAATATTTCTCTAAATATGTTTTTATTTATTGTAGGCGATGGCTGTATTTTCTCAGCTTTTCAAAGCAACAAGACATGTTCTTTATTCTTACTCCTCTTCTGTTTAATTAAAAAGTCATGTATTTCTCTTTGATCCAGTTCTGCTACGTCCTATATTACATTATTTTCATCTCCATACCCTTGAATAGCTCTTGTGGGGTTGCAACATTGAGGGTTGCAAAATGCTTTCATCACCCCCTTGGTTCCTGTGCTCATGGTGGATCTGACACAAGCAGAAGCAAAACACTCCATTTAAAAGCAACCTGAGGTTATAGCTAGAGATGCTTGCTGGCTGTTTGGTGTAGAAGTTAACTCAGGATTCTTGGGGCATTCATTCCTCTTGCAGGCACCCAGATCCAACATGGGCCTCGTGGCTGCAGCTGGCAGTGAGGTGCAGCTCTTTGCTTACAATAGTTCAATATTTGTATGACTCCGCAGTGTAAGGCAGGTAACCACCCGGTGACGTGACATCTCAGACACTCCCCAAGTTAGCGCGTGTGCAGTTTATATGAGGAGTACCCCCTCAGCTGTGTTTCAGAACCTTTGGTGGAAGCATCACTCCAAGAGAAAGCTCAAATCTTGAGTTTTGATTAGAATAAAGTCCTTCCCAGTAGTTTGAATGAAACATATCTTAAGTTCCAGAAAGAGATAAACTAGGGCTTGGGTTCCTCTCCTCCTTGTTTCATCTGGGCTAATGGAGGCAGCTTCTCAATCGGCATGCTGGCCTTTGTGAATCCCCTTCTTAATGTCCCAAACTTTCCCCAGAAATTGTGCATGGATTTTAGCTAAATAATTCAGACCTGTCCTGGGGAAAGGGGATTGATGATAAACTTGCATCTGTCTTTTCCTTCTGAATCATGGAGAATTGACTCTGTTACTGAGAGTCTCATTTTCATTTATCACTATTTGTTTGTCGGATTACTTGCAACTAAATTTACTTTTAATTATCTACAGGATTGTGCCATAATATGTAAACAGAATCTGGAGGAGTGAAAACAACTGTGTTTCCACTGAAGGATGCACAGGGACTCCAGAGGGACATTACAGGGTTGTATGTGTCTTGTTTGTGTTCTGTTAACATTTTTATTTTGTCTTTCAGTTTGTAACCTACAATAGCGTAAAAAAAGAAACATCATGTCATTTAGAGAAAAAGTGAATCTCAGTAGTGTGATGACTTTCCAGTCAGACAAATATCCAGAAGTACTGGAGTGTAAAACCTGTTGTTCACTTGAGTTTCGTGCTCTAGCCTGCTGCATGACAAGGTGTTTTCCTGGATAATGCTGATGAGAGGCATTCCTAGTGGCGTTGTCTGTCCACTGCAGTGTTAATTTTGCCATTGGTATGTGCATCATCTTACAAAATTCTTGGCATACCAGACTCATTTAGAATATTTCCCCCCTTTTGTTTTGTGAAGGGAACTGTGATTTACAGCTATGAATGGTTTAGAATAATAGAATTATTTAGGTTGGAAAAGACCTTTAAGATCATCCAACACAACCATGAATTTAACAGCTTTCCCCTTCAACGCTTGGTAGCCCTTGCACTTGGTAAAATTGCTCCTGTATCACCGAGTATTTTTGTTGACAGGGATTATATTCTGCTTAGGCAAGCAGTTTACTTAGTGTTCCTCCTCTTGTTCTGCCTGCAATATACTACTTCCCATTCGAAACCTCTTTGGTAAGTGTTGAGATCACTTTGGGACTTTTTTTTTTATTTTAGAAAATCAATCTTCATAATGATAGCAACAGCAATCCCATGAGATTCTCTGCAAGTCTTCTGTAATAATCTTTAAAAGTTAGGAAAGGCATAACTAGCTTTTTTTGCTTTTGTGCAGAAACTTTTCATGTTAGTCTTAAACATTAGATTGTATACACTTGTAAGTGTCTAGCCCTCCTTAAAGGGCTTCCAAAATGAAGTTCACTACTGTACACTTCTTCAGCTTTGTTTTTCAACTTCAACATTCTTTTGTCTAGTACTCTAAAATATTGGGTAACTTTTGTCTGTAAAACTTCAGATTTCTAAGTTAAGGAAATACATAGGATGGCTGTTTCTCTGTACTGCTTTCATCCCAAGCTGATCCCTCCTAGTTTGAATCGAGGAAGAGTTAGGAATTACTTATGCAGGATACAGCATTACTAGGGCTTCTTGTACTAAATAAT